GCTGTCAGGTACTCGTTGACCCCTGTTGGGCTCAGGTAGTGCAGGGATTCCGGGGAGGAAGGATCTCCATTGGAGCCCGTGAAGTCAATGCCCACCTAGAAGGGGAGGAGGGGAGCTGAAAACCACTCTGAGACCCAGATCTGTTCTCTTATCCCTGATAAAGCAACTTACAGTGAAGTTGATTTGACAGCCTCCCATCACATAGTCCAGGAATGAATACTGTGTTTCTACCTGCAGATGAAACCAGGATCATGGCTGGGGTGAAGGGATTGGGGCCATGGAGCACAGGGGTCAGAGCCTGGGTCACATGGGCTATTGCCTCACCTGGCAAATCTTGACACAAACAGTCCCAGAGTTCTTGTAGCTTTTCTTTTTCTGCTGTTTCTCAGGGTGGATACATTCAAACTCAGCCTGGTGAGGAAAGAAAAATTAGGGTAGGAAACTCCCAGAGCATCAGCTGGAACTGGCCTGCCCTCCCTCTCTCCCTGAGGCTACAGTCCTTTAGGCCCACCTTAACACCCCTGAGCAGGGCTGGCACTCACCGGAACTGCTTGCAGCTGGGCCAAGCTGGTGTAGAAGGTACCAATGAGATCATGTGAACCATCACTGTCATAGTCTGAGCATCGCACCTGTGTGGGTGGGGGGAGTGGGGGAAGGTGTGTATGTGTATACAGAGACCAGGGGTAGGGGGCAGGTAAGAATAAATCCTTCCCCATGTCCAGTCAGGAGGCAAACTCCTCACCTGGATGGGTGTGCTGGGGTCTCCCCCACAGAAATGCTGAAGGGGAACAGAGAAGCGCTTCCATGTAGGGTTCAAGTTGTTCTTGATTACCTGAAGGTGGAGAGCAAGGCCTCTAGTGAGCTCTGAGCTGGCATATGGGGAGCTGTCATCTTTCTCTATCCATATGCAGTCTCTTTCTCCCTGTTCCAAACCTTGGTAATCACAAGCCCCAGGAGAGTCTCTCCTACCCCACTCCACCCAATCCCAGGGGTCTCACACCTCAGATCTGTATGCCAGGTGCCATTTCCCATCACCCTGACGGAAGAACTCCAAGAACGGGTCCGATTTCCCCAGGAAGTCCTGTCAATGCCACAGAGACCCGAGTATAAGACTCAGGGAGAGACAACCATTTTGCCAGTCCCCAGCCCCGCCCCCCCCTTAGTTCTTAAACCCCCAGGAACACCATCCCTGCCCCTTAATTCTTAAACCCCCAGGGCTTCCTTCCAGACACACCTTCTTATCTAGGTTTCTGGCCTCCACCTCCATGGTCACTATACGATTATCCTTCATCTCTTGAGCAGATACCTAGGAAGGGGAGGCAGGAGACTGTATCCCCTCATGAATTCCTCATTGATGTAACCCTCCTCCCCCACAGAATTCTTCCTTACCGTGATGGTCCCCCGCCCAGCAGGTTTTCCAGGCTTCAGCATCAAGGGTAGAGTTATTATCTGGCTGGACACAATCTGGGGCAAAGCAGGGGTGGGTGGGGGAGCAAAATCTCAGGCAGGGTTAGGTCTTGCTTGACCCCCACCTCCACATTCCAGACAGTCTGGGCTGTTAGGGCTCTTACTGAACATATGTCTAAAGTATTTTAATCCCTAGCCCTACATACCTGTCCTAGGGAACACTCAGCCCCTCCTAGGAAGTCATCATCCCCCAGCTCAGGTGTCTTGTTGTCTATGTCATAAATGCCAAATCGGAGCTTCTGGACTGTTTCAAAGTGGTACTCAAGCTGCAGAGTCTTGGAGAACTCGGGGCTTGAGCAGTTCCGTACTCGCTCAGTTCGGCCAAGCTGTGGGCAGAGGCCAGTACCATCACAGTCACGCACCCTCTACCCTCAAAACAGTTCTAACTGTCCTCCACAACTTTAACCCCCAAGGCCCTTCTCACCTCAGCCCAGCTGCCCCCTCCCACATCCTGTAAAAGGACGCAGAGTGGGTCAGACTTGGAGCCGATGTCCTTGTCAATGAGGTGGTCACAGGAAATGGATAGTTGAACCAAGGTCACGCAGTGGGCCATCTGGGAAAAAAAGGACCTGAGTCAAGCACTGAGGATCCTTCTCTACCCTTCCCTGACTATATGTCCCAGTTTGGGAAGGCCAGCAGGCTTCCCCCAGGCAGGGCTGAGCCTGTATCCAGCTCCATGACACCGAAGAAAGAGAAGGCCTTAGAGCCTCCATACTCCTCTAATCCCCTCAGGTGAGCTCAATGGGACAGGACATGGTGAGTACAACCAACCCTGATATGATGGGAAGATGCAGAAAAAGTATATTAGCCTTCATCAACAACTTTGAGCCCAAACTGGTCCTCACCCCAAAAATCCCATTATAGGATCCCAAGACCCAGAATCCAACCCTGATCTTCTGAGACCAATGAATCTCACT